CACCCACCCCCCAAGCCAACACCCCCACTCCTTCCCCCCCACAGGGCACGGGGGTGGCACGGGGAGCGCTCCCCCTGCCCCCAGCTCCTCTGGGCCACCACCAACCCCAGGCACTGGAAAGAAAGGACCGTGGAGGGAGCTCAGGCTCTGGTGAGCTGGATCCAGCTCTCAGTGTTTTATTTCGTTGCTGTGGGGCTGGTTTTTCACAGCACACTCCTCATCAGAGGCACAACGTGGCACAGCAGCCCCTGGCTCAGGACCCGCCGGCGGCACGCTGCTCCCAGCCCTCTTCTTGCCCATTGGGTTTCATCACTTTTCTTCACTGGGTTTATGCTTTTTTTTTTTATTTTCTACCTCTTTTTATGTTTTTTTGGTTGTTTTTGTTTTTTTTTTAAACATTTCTCAAGCTTTCTCTGAAGGAATGGCCACTGGCTCTCAGCTAGCAGAAGGAGACTACAGAAAGAGCCCTGGGACACGTGGGATGGTTTCCTTCTCCTGCCTCGCAGCTGACTTGGTTTAGAGAGTTTTCCAACTCGTTTTTCTTTTATTAAAAAAATAAAAAAATGCTCCAACTATCAGTTTTACAAGGCGTACAAAAAATCTCTGAAAGGGAAACACGAGCACAAGGTGCTGAGGTACGAAAACCTGAGGTAGTTTGTGTGTGTCTGCATGTCTGGTGGGGGGTTGTTTGGGTCTTTTTATTCAATTGAAATAAATTTTGTTCAATTTTTCCAGCCCTGGGCTGACAACCTCTTGTAAATCTGTTTTTTTTTTTCCCCCCCTCTGTTTTATCCTCCTCTCCCTGCAACAAAGATCTTCCCCCCCCAAAAAAATCCTTGCCCCAAGTGGGCAAGGCTGGTGCTGCCCGTCCTCTTCCAGGGCTGTTAGTGCCTGGCCCTGGTGACAGAGGGGGGTGACACACAGACAGATGGAAAGGGGGGACAGAACAGATGCAAACCCCAGTTTTGGACTCTGTGAAGCAGACAGGAAAGGGCATGTGCAAGAGAGATTCCTCTTTTAGGAGACGGTATCCCTTCTGTTGGCTCATACAGGCACTGATCTTCTCAAAACCCTTAAGAAATCACTTTTTAAACACTTTTTTTTTCCCCCCTCCCCTCTGCTGGCAATCCTCCATCTCTGCTCTACTGTGCATTTAGAGAACCAATGGACTAGCTCCTTTCCTTACAACCCTAGACAAGCTAAAAACAAACATCCCTCTCCCCCTGACCCTTCTGGAATTAAAAATTCAAAATCAATTCTTATGAAACTTAAAAACTGCCGTTGAGTGAGTTTCATTAAGAGATATATTCATTCTAAAATGGATGAGCCCTGTGCAGCCCCCTCCCCCACCCCGTGCTGGGCTCAGCTCCTCCAGCCATGCCTGGATCAAACGAGTGGCTTTTAAGAAATCCAAAATTTATGAAAAAAATCTCTCTATGTTAGTCCAACTAAAGGGATAGCATCGAGAGGCAACGGGGCACAGGGAGGGGAGGCTGTAGGGTGGAGAGAGAGCTCCCCACGCCCCCTCCCTGCGGTGCCCGGGGGTGGGTAGGAGGCTCGGGGGGGGGGGTCTTTGGGTTGATGGCATGGCCTGGACGCCG